TAGCATTCTCAAAGGCTAGTTGTTTGATTAAAATTTCTGCTGCTTCCTCACTAGAATTTACTCGGTTGATGGCAGTGGTCAATCTAGACACGAAATCCTCATAGTTTTCATCTACCTTTTGTTTTATCTCAGACAAGGAAGAAGTTTGAGTAGAATCAGCAGGCAACTTTTTCCAGGCAGTAACAGCACAATGACTTACCTGAACAAAAATATCTTTGGGTAACACTTCTTGGCTATTATTTGTAGTGTATTGTCCAGTACCTGTAAGCATATCTTTAATGATAACAAATGTACCTGGTGGACGGTTTTGATTTTGAACCATTTGAATTTGAACTTGATCCTCATATTCTGTTCTTCATAATAAATAAGCTCCTCCAGATAGACAACTTTTAGCCAATTGTTGCCAATCAGAGGTAGTCATCCACCAGGTAGTGAATTGATCTAAGATAGTAATTGTATAAGGAGCTAGAGGACCATACCATGAGCTTGCCTCTTTTAGTTCTCTTACTAACTTATATGGCAAGGGCTCCCATTGTGCCGAGACTATTCCATCAGCACCAGTAGTAAAGGACACTGGAAACATGCTGATAAACTGAAATCTCCTTCCTTCTCTGCCTCTGCTCGAGCAGCCTGTATTCCATAAAGAAAAGGATGGGCAGGGGGACTGCCGGGTGTAAGGTTTAGCTTACTTGCCTGTGCCTTATGGAGAGGGACCTGTGGATAAGGTGGATTAGTGTTATTAAGGTAATTGTTACTGTGGTAATTTGTGGCTTCATCCTCCAAACATGCGTGTCCTGTGGGGATAATATATCATAATTTGGAGGTGCAGAGGCAGCAGCAAAAGGAAAATTGTCCTCACCATCATCATCATCAGCAGACTTTTGGGAAGGAAATGTGTCATAATCATGCTGTGGATCCAATGCATCCTTAATTAGATTCCATAAAGCAAAAGCATCAGATGGTACTTTGTCAGGGCCATGGTGTGTATAATACAATTTAAGTTCTTCCCCAACCTTAGACCAAGTGTCTAAATTAACTGTTCCTTCTTCAGGAAACCATGGACACTGTTCCTGGACAAAATGTAAAAAATGGGCTAAATCATTAGAAGAGACCTTAGTTCCACATTTAGGCAAAGTATTCATTAATATACTGATAAACATTTTTCTTTCTTTGGAGTCGCTCTGGCCCATGATTATATCACGGCTCTGGCTTCACAAAAACTATGCTTAACCGTCCTTGCTCTGCTTGTCTCTACAGAGGGGTCTGCAGCACCCTGGGTAAGATCCTATCCATCCTGAAAAAGAGAAAAAAACTTACCTTCCAGGGCCTCACGTTGGGCACCACTGCTGGAGTCCTGCTCCTGCAGGGTCTGGGGTTCCTGGAGGCAAGACGGATTCGGCAACTAAAAAAAGAGATGAGGAAGAGGGGGGAGAAAGAAAGAGGACTGGACTGCTGTTCGAGTGACAGAAGACCTTTATTGAGAAATAGAGAGGGTTTTTATCCCCTAATTTTTACACAGTCAGATTCACATGCCTTCTACATGAACAGAAAGCCAGGTGCATGGGGACGTCCCTCGCCCACCAGATGTTTCTTCAAGCATGAGGAAGAACAAACCCAAAATTGTCTTTCCTTTCCTTATGCTTAGCTAATGTCCCTCAGAATTATTAATACAATTTATTAAAATATTATACCATTTTATCAATGATAGTCTATATATTTATTTTATTCTACACACTTACCTATGACTAACTTTCCTAATGATTAACAATCTATTCCTATACTTTATCCTAGCACACACAATGGAACTTAAACAAAATGACTAAAACCAGTTTTGCATAATGTGGCCCAGTCCAAAGGTCATGCTGGGCTCTCAGCACTAGGGCTCTTTGATGTCGTCTTGGAATATAATGAATGCATTTCATAATTTTTTGTTGCATGACTTTTCATCATTTTCAAAATAATTTTTCTACTCACATATGCACATACAAATATATAAATGCTCATTGGTTTTACATCAGTTAATGTACTGAATTATGCACATGGTCTTGCTGGTGTTGAACCAACTCTGCATCCTGGGAATGAATCCCATCTGGTCATGGTGAATGATCCTGGAGATGTCTTGTTGGATTCTATTTGCTAGAATCTTGTGATTTTTTTTGTGTTTGCATTTAAAAAGAAGATTGGCCTGTAATTTTTTTTCCTCATTGAGTTTTTGCCAGGTTTGAGTAACAGTATAATGTTAGCTTTACAAAATGTGCTAGGGAGAAATGTGTCATTCTCAATTTCCTGGATACTTTCTTTTTTTTAACTTTAAAGATGTGGAGTATGATTCAGGATTAGGTATACAAGTGGTCATATACAGGTGAAGTCTGGGCTTCCCCTTGATCCCCACTTCGCCCGGTTTGAGATCAGGTACTCTTATCTTATTGATGTTATGTCCCCTCCCTTCCTCCCCTGGCAGTTTCCCCCTACCGCCAATCCTTTTCTTATTGTATTATGACAAATGTTCAGAATCTGCTTATGAGTGAGAACATGCGGTACTCGGTTCTTTGTTTCTGTGATAGGTCACTGAGTATTATAGACTCTAAATCCATCCAAGTTGCTGAGAAGTCCATAATTTTATCCTTCTTTGTATCAGCTCCTTCTTGTATGTCTTGTAGAATTCAGCTGAAATGCCATCTGGTCTTGGATTTTTTTTAGTGGGAGGTTTCTTATGACTGTGTTGTTATTGGTCTGTTTAAAGTTTCAGTTTCTTCTTGTTTCAACATTGGGAGTTTGTGTGATGCCACAAATTCCTCCATTTCCTTTAGTTTTTCTAGATTATTTACATATAGATGTTCATAGTAATCTCTGATAATATTTTCAGGGTCATTGCCTTTTTTGCCTTAAAATGTTTATGTGTGTGTGTGTGTGTGTGTGTGTGTATCTCTGTTTAACAGCTGAAAAGAAAAAAAGGACATTTCAAAAATTATTTTTTATTTTTATTTTAAAGATGTGGGGTACAATTCAGGGTTAGGTATACAAATGTTGATTATGCAGGTACCCTTGTTAATGAGGTGTATCCCTCTCTCCCCTGATAGTTTCCCACTACTGTTAATCCCCTTCTTATAGTATTAGGATAATTGTTCAAGGTCTGCTGATGAGTGAGAACATATGGTACTCTGTTCTTTATTTCTGTGATAGATCATTGAGTATAACAGACTCTAAATCCATCCAAGTGGCTGCGAAGTTCATAATTTTGTTCTTCTTTATGACTGCGTAATATTCCATCGTGAATATGCACCACATTTTTTTATCCAGTTCCGTTTTGATGGGCACCATGGTTGGTTCCATGTTTTTGCTATTGTGAATAGAGCTGCAACAAACACGCATGTGCAAGTATCTTTTTTGTGGAATGATTTGCGTTCTTTTGGTTATATTCCCAATAGGGGAATTGCTGGTTATATGGAAGGTCAATTTCAAGTTCTTTCAGATGTAGCCACACTGTCCTCCAAAGAGGCTGCACTATTTTGCATTCCCACCAGCAGTGTAGAAGCGTTCCTTTTTCTCCGCATACTCACCAGCATCTGTTGTTGTTTCTTTTATTAATGATGGCCCTTCTTACTGGCATTAGGTGGTATCTCAATGTGGTTTTGATTTGCATTTCTCTGATGATTAGTAAGACTGAGTACTTTTTCATGTGTCTGTTGACTGCCCATATATCTTCTTTTGAGAAGTGTCTATTCATGTCTTTTGTTCACTTTTTAACGGGGCTGTTTGCTTTTTTTCTTTTTGGCACTTTTGAGTTCTTTATAGATCCTAGATGTTAGACCTTTGTCAGATATACAGTTGGTAAATATTTTTTTCCCATTCTGTGGGCTGTCTCCCTGCTCTCTTGATGGTTTCTTTTGGTTTGTAGGAACCCGTCAGTTTGATGAGGTCCCACTTGTCTATCTTATTTCTTATGGTATGGGCACTTAGGGTTTTAATCAGGAATCGGTTGCCAGTTCCAATTTCCATAAGGGTGTCTCCTGCATTTTCTAAGATTCTTAGAATTGAGGTCTTTGATCCATTTAGAGTTAATTTTTGTGTATGGTGATGGTAGGGGTCCTGTTTCAATCTTCTGCATATGATTAGCCAGTTTTCCCAGCACCGTTTACTGAATACATTCCCCTCTCCCCAGTGGTTATTGTTGGAGGTTTTGTCAAAGATGAGTTGGTTGAGAAATTGAGACTTTGCTTCTGGAATCTCTTTCCTGTTCCATTTGTCTATATGTCTGTTGTTATACTAACCAGGCTGTTTTGATTACTATAGCCTTATAGTAAAGTTTGAAGTTTGGAAGTGAGATACTTCCTGCTTTGTTTCTTTTGCTAAGGATTGTTTTGGCTATTTGGGGTTGCAAAGAGACACTCTTTGGAGATTGGCTAATTCAAATTATGTCTCTTGTTACTCCTTCTGGCTGAAGCAATTTTCTTTGGTTTGTTCCCTGTATCTACACACATATACATACATATATATACACATTGCACATGTACACATGCCCATACTTATATTTTAATAACCATTGAAGACAGAAAGTATAGAGGTCAAACTGTAAAGATCTTATTCTACTGGATACTTAGATTAGAGTGAGAGAGAAGCAAATTTTACAGTTCGTTTAATTATCTTGAAAATCTCATAACATAATTTGTGATTTCTAATTTATAGTGAAGTAAAATATGACATTCACGGTGAACTTTATTTTGAAATACTGTGCAGAAAATATGGAACTAAAAATCTCAGAACTGAGCTAAAAAGTATTTTGTATGAGATGAAACACTGAACTTTCTTTCACGTAAGAGAATTTGGATTGGATATTGAAGGATGAAAAAAAATGAGCACGAACAAATTTCAGTAAATTCATAAAAAGTAAAAAACTAAGGAAGGGGTGGAAGATGACTGACATAAAGACCAGAAAGCATCTGGTATATACTCATGAGGCTGGAGGGGTTTGCTCTGCAGACTGGCAGCTTGACCTTTCCTTAGACTGGGACAAAACAAAGCTCATAGAAGGGTGGTAGACTGCTTAATGACTTGGTAACTGGGGTGGTGTCTATGTCTTTTGGGTCAACCAGAGGTTTCAAGGTAAAATGCTGTAAAATGGTGGTCAGGAGTAAAAACAGTTCCATGTGGGCCAGGCTCTCTCCAGCACACGTTCTTTTACCTAAAAAGACAGAAACATCGATGATTCATTTAATTCACATTTCTGAGTTAGCACACAGAGAGGCTAAAGTCAATATGGAACAAAGAAACATATAAAAGATTCATCTGTGTTTTCTTCTATTTACACCTAAACCTGGTTTCCTTCATTCCCTCAGCACACATGTGTTTGTGCTGTATGAAAAAATCTTATCCGTATGTGTGCATAGGGACTGCTATGCTGAGGTTTGTCAGTGACATCTTTACACACACACACACACACACACACTCACAGACACACACACACACACACACACACACACACACAGAGGCATAAGACACTGCAGTATTTTCTTTTCTGACTTCCTCTGACTCAGTACTCAATAAGACATTTATTTGTACTCATCTGGATTCTAAAGTATAATCATAAACTTGTCACAAACATGTTTAAGAAAATTTTAAGAGCTATCATTGTCAGATATGCACAGAAATGTCACATACTGGCCATAAGCAATTCTTAGAGATTCTGTATTCCCACCCCTTCCATCTGGTTTCCCAAAGCTCGGCCACTACTAAGTATTCACCACTTCCCAAGAAAGACAGACAACTTCATGTTTTATCTCAGATTCTAGGCATTTTTTTTCTATTTGAAATGGCTACCTCTCTGCTCTGTCTGCTTCTAGCACCCATACACTTCTAGATTGATATAGCTTATGTGTTTCTTTTTCTATCAGGCTAGATTGATCTACTTTTTTTCCGTAATCTTCTGTTACCTGTTCAGGGTACAAAATGTAGTTCTCTTATCCATTATCCATTTTCCACAACACTTATTAATGCCTCTAATATAAATTGCATGGAATTGAAACTATTCATCTATCTCACAGACCAGACTATAAGATCTTCTGGTAAGTTCTTAGTTTTTCAATACCCTCAATAATACCTACAGTGTCAGGAGACACAAAGCAGGCCTGTGAGACACAGAAAAAGAATGGCATTCTTGAGCCATCTCATCATGCAAAAGTGAACTCCAAGATACAGGAAGAAGGATAAGGGGTAGTGCAACAGTGGCTTCTTTGAGGTCACTTCTGGGCATTGCACATAATCTTGGGACCACAATACTGAGGATGCTTTGATGCTTATTTTCTTAGACACGTAATCAGTAGCAAATCTCTTACTTCTATGTCTGTTTCAGTTTCTTCTGTGGGAAAGTTGTTCTGTCCTCGAATCTTCCTCTTCTTTCTTTTTTGAAGTGTGCTGAATATGCTCCATTTCTTCCTCTTTCCTGATCCATTCTATATATTTTTTGTCTTTTAGGTGTTTTATTTTCCAGTAAAAGAACTTTTATGGACATCATTAACCCAGGAGTTAGCGCCCTTCTGAGTTCTGAATACATCAAGGGGCTGAGATGTTAAAAAGTCAGAGTATTCATTCCTTCAACCCACCCTGCCAGGACTCAGTTTTAGCAGAGGCTGTATTCCAGCCTATATAGAGTCTTTTCTTGTCGAGGCATCCTTTCTCTACTGGCTAAAGGATTTTCCAGGTTCCAGCAACATCCTCCTTTCTTTCCTTTTTAAAAATCTTGGATGTTAAAGTCTTCCTTCTGATGTGTATTTTATCACACTTCATTACTTCCCTCGTTCTACTCACTCCTTTGGAGAAAATTCCTTTATTAAACTCTTTACTTAACCTTTTTCTGAGCACCACTTGTTTCTTTCCAGGAATCTTATAAGTGGAGAAAAGATACTCAATTGTTGTTTCTTGAAAGAAAATTTTCACTGCTCTGCTCCTACTTCCTCAAAAAATAAAAATTAAAATTAAAATTAAAATAGAGTCAGTAACTCCTCTCTCTGGGTTTCTACAGAAGCTTTAAAAATGGCATTTGTTACACTGGAGTCTCATTGCCTCTGACTTTGTCTTTCTTTCTCTTAAAGGGAATATCTATTTCTTATTCACATTTGTATCCCTGGAGTTGAGTATGAGATTGCTACCTACAAGGTCCTCAGAGAAATTTACTTGAGTGAACTGGTTGCTCACGGCAAATGAGAAAAACCTTCCTTGTGTTGAACTTCTAGGAGGAGATCTTGAGAACCTAGCGGTGGATGAGGATACGGAATCAATGAATATAGCTTCCCATTCCACGAGAAACAACTTGGATGTTGGAAGTGGTTACTCTGGTCTCCTAAAAATGGCAAAGTGTCTAGTTCAGAGGAACCTCCATGCAAATCCCTTCTTCATGTCATTTGACCCCTGATGTACAGAGAAAAAGAAAGCTTGCTTGCCTGCTGAAAAAACCATGAAGTAGTCACTCCTCTTGAAGTTGCCACTTTCATCCAGAAAGTGGCCAGGGTCAAACTGCCATGGGTTGGGAAACTCTTTCTCATCATGTAGGGCAGAAGATATATGTATTAAGATTTCCGTGCCCTGACAGAAAAAGAAACACATAAGTTAGATTATAAAGGAAGGCATGGAGCTTGAAAATGAATGAAATTTTAGGCCTAATCCTTTTGTTTCATAAGTAAGTAGATTGGGTCACTATAAAAAGGATATTTGTTGTATGTCACAGAATGAGTCAATGACTTAGTAGGTCTTAAATCATATACAGCTGAGTCCAGAGCATGATTTGCTGATGTAAGGCCATCCCTACCAATGTACAGTCTGACACCAGCAGCTACTTTGCAGAAAATCAGCAAAACTGCCTAAAGCATACTGCCTGTGACAAGTAAATTGTGGAGTAACTACTTTGGAGCTGCCCTCACAATTAAGCTATAAATACGGAAAAAAATATATGTATAAAATAACTTCTTTTTCATCACCGAAAAAGAGGAAATTCAGACATATAATGCTTTTAAAAAGGAATTAGGGCTACAATCACTGTGGATTTCTGCATGAGAACAATTTTCTTTCGCAATGCCTGACAGTAAGAGCCAAGCAACATGGTGCTCTTTTCAAGCAAGGGAAACAGAGGTCAAAATTTGGAACTTAAAATTGGTAAGGTAGCATACAGTACAGGAGAATTCTATAATGAGGATCTCAAAAGTGTACAAGACTATTTTCTTGTAAGTCCATAGCTGTTGGTTGTAGGGAATATGGAATATGTACAGGACAGAATTCTGTAAAGCTTATTAGAATAGGGTTCAGTTGAAAACTGAATATAAATATCAGATGTTGAGTGGTAATTAGAGGAGCTCAAGTTCTAACCCAGTCAGAATTGGTTGAACATCCTTGGCATCTTATATATTCTGTGGTGATACCCAAAATCTTAAAATGTTTGGCTTAAGAAACCACCCTAAGAATCATGCCCAAAGACAAAATTTTAAGTTTGATTTAATTTACAATGACAAATAATTATACTAAGCCTAACAGATTTACAAAAAACTATCAGTAATTTAACTTCTTGATAAAATAAAAGCAAACACCCTTTAATGAAAGACAACATCATCCAGACTTTCCAGAATATATGACTGAAATTTTTCAGTATGCAATAAAAGTATACTAAAAAGAAAAAATTGTGACCCATAATATGTTACAAATTAATCAATAGAAAAATGCCTTTGGTATCTTCGATGCTAGCATTATCAGACATCAAAGTAGAAATTATGAATATGTACAAATGTTTAAAGGAACAATTTTAGAGAAGTATGTGAGAAATATTTCTATAAAACAGAGATTATGAATACATCTGAAGTACTAGAAAGAAAAAATAAAAGATAAAATTATGGGAAATATCAACAGATAAATGAAAACTATAAAAGTTTAAGTCCTAGAATTGTAAATAAAAGAAACACAAGGCTACTGGGTGGGATTAATAGCATTGGAGACTATAAAAGTAAAGATTAGTGAATGTAGAGATATAGCAATAGTGTAATTGCTGAGAAGTTTTCATTGGAAGAACTCTCATACACATATACTGGAGTGCTGACAAAACATGAAGGTAATGGAGCATAGAAGACTTCTGAAAAAAAAGAGAAGCCTAGAGGATGAGTTTCCATTTTCATGGATTTATTTTGAGGGCAGGTCTCAGGCAGCAAATATTAGGTGACCTAAACTGGGCTATATACCATCAGTCTTGCTGAGTTGAAGAACCAGTGACAATATTCAGTTACAACACCTACACAGAAGCTGAAAAGAAAGGGAATAAATCCTAGAAAAGAGAGAGCCCAGAGAAGGATAGCCCTAAGTTCTCTATCTGAAGTGTTTCAAATCTCTAGCTAGCACTTGGATTAGACATGTGTGGGCCAACTCCAAATAATTCACATAAAGCTAAAAAGAACTAAACTAAGAATCTTCATTTTGAGTTCAACTCCTATCTATCGCCTTTGTCTGTTATCTATCTATCTATCTTTTCTATCTCTTTTTCTTATTTTATAGATATGGGTACAATTCAGGATTAGGTATACAAATGGTCATCATACAGGTAAAGTTTGGGCCTCCCTTTCATCCTCACTTCACATGGTTTCAGATCAGGTACTCTTATTGATATTATGTGCAACTTCCCTTCACTGGCAGTTTCTGTCTGCTGCAAATCCCTTTCTTATAGTATTATGATAAATATTCCGTGTCTGCTTATGAGTGAGAACATGTTGCACTCAGTTCTTTGATCTATCACTGAGAATTATAGACTCTAAATTCATTCAAGTTGCTGCAAAATGCATAATTTTTCCTTCTTTATGATTGTGCAATATTACATCATGTATATGTACCACATTTTTTTTTAATCCAGTTCAGTTTTTTTTCCTTTTTTTTCAATAGTCAGGTTTATTAGTCTGGCCTTATTTGAATAAGTAATGAGTTCAAGAAATAGAGCAAACCTATAAGGACAATCTCAAAACACTGCAAAATTTCTAAAGCAAAATTAAAAAGCACTGTAACTTTAATTCAGAGTAACTTTCTTCCTAATCCCCAAAGCAAATTTTTCAAGTATGCTTCATATCTTGACAATAGTCTTATTTATAAGGAGGAAGAAAGATGCAACTCACCTTTGTACACTGTAAGGCCTTTTTAAAATAGCCTCTTTGAATGGAGGTGGAATATGACCAAAGTAATCAGGATAAACCACCTCTGAATACTCGGGGACTTTGTATTTTTCACAATCTCAATATAGAGGTCTGGGTCATGGAGTGTCGGTCCATCAGGCACCTCAACTGATGCTTGTTCCACCGATGAACTAGACTCAGTATCTTCATCATCTTTGGTTTCAACTGCAGTGCAGCAAAGTTTCCCTAGCTGAACTGCTCTTCCCTCAAACAGAGTATTTTCACAAGTAGCCATATGTAAGGACAGTAAGGGGAAGACTGTAATCCTTCTTCATTTCTGCAGTAAAACCTGGAGCTGTTTGAGAAGTAATTCAGTCCAAGTCCTTCACAATATCATTGTTTAGGCCATGGCCTGATGAAATATTTTTGCTTTTATCACCTAGCTGCTCTTATCATGTTCTATCATTAACTTTAATATCTTATTGTGCGAGATCCACACAGGCAGGTTTCTTATCACCTTCATCTCCTTTAGGAGATACATTTTCCTTCATTACAACTCCTTTTCTTAAACTGACGGAACTCCCAGATACTTCCTCTCCTGCTGTAGGAACAACAATGGGACCGTGTAATTTTCCCTCAAATATTAAAATCTTTGGTGCTTTGGAGATTAAATCATAGTCCTGAAAATCATCAACAAGCTCAGGGAAAAGGTATTTATACATTTTTAGTTCTTCTATTGTCCGTTCTGGTTCCTGCTGGGGTTTTAGTTTGTTAATACCTGTTTCAATATCACCATTCTTAAAATTTTGATCTAGGTCATTTTCATTCTCAGTTTCATTTTTGGCTTCTAGATCAATATTATCATTGTCATCACTTTCATCTACTATGTCATTCACTTCAGGGAGTAAGCTGTACAGCTGAGCCACAGGGCCAGTGACAGGAATGACAGGCAACTGGAAATGGAAAGAACTTTTAATCTTTGGAAGTGGCGGACAGTTTTTCAGGAAACACTTCCTCATGATCAGACTAGAAGTATTGACAAGAGGATCAAGAGTCCTGACTGTCAAACATTCTTGCAAAGTGTTATACAGAATTTTCATCCCATTGGCATCAATAAATGCTTTTCTTCCCAATTTAATGTTTGTAACACTTTTAAAACTCTGTAAAATTCCTTTCCAAAAGAGCATGTTTCTACGCCAATTATGGCAGTGCCAATCTACATACATTGTTAAAAGCACTTGGACATATCCTCTGTCTACAGCTCTCCTGGCATTTGTTTTTGACTTTAGCAATGCAGCCAGTGTCTAAAGCAACCCTGTCAACACAATTCGTAAGACCGGGATTCTTCTTACTAAATGATCCAATGATTTTAAACATAAGTTCCACAAGTCCATTTTCCATAAAGATGTTGAATTCACAGAGTTGGCAGAATATACTCGTAAAAGCTGAAGACAAGGTAGAACCAAGAGATGATTCTGCAAATTCTGTTTGACCAAATTCAGGGTTATATTCAGAGCCCCATTAATTCTAGCCTTCACTCCACATTTTTTATCTTTTCTCTGATATCACTTTTAACTTGCTCATCCTGAGTTACTTCATCATTGCAGACAATCGGCTCAGGACAGGGCGCTGGCGGGGACTGTGCCCAGCCGCAGCACTGAACTCGGCACCCGGCTTGCGGCGGATCCCTCGCCGCCCACCGCCACTTGGTTGTCACTTTTCTTTCTTCTTTATTTCTCTCTCTGTAATATTTCCTTTTTCTCTGTTTGTGTCCTTTTCTTTCTTCTTTTTGTCTCTTTCTTCCTACTTTCCTTTTCTCTCTCTTTTTCTCTCTCTATTCCCTCTTATACCTTGTTTTGGACTCAGAGGCTGTGCAAGCATATTCACTGTAAGCTCATATTGTGTAGAGGTGGAGAATGAGTCTCAGCTGGCCCATACACCAGATACCAAACATTATGACCTGTCAATAGGTTCTAAATCCTTGCAGCTCCTCTCCTGTCCCCTAGTAAGTGCTTAAAAGCGTAAAGAGATAGCACTGTGCCTCACCTCCATTCCTACTTCATAATTAAACAAGCCCAGAGCCCTGACTCAAGGAAGGACAAAGGTAGAGCAAATGTCAGAAGTGACTGTTTCTTCATTTTCCACTGAACAATGGAATTAAAGAGAAAGAAAAGAGTTCAACTCCTTCAGATAATACAAAAAAGAAAATACCTAAGATTTTGATAACCCCAGCATATATCTAACAATAACCTAGAAAGAACATTGTCAAAAAAATTGCAAGCCAATAAGGTAATACGGACATCTTCAAACAGAGCTCTAATATTTGATCTCTAGTAAACTAAGAATTCAACACATAAAAGCCAAAATTCGGCAGGATAAGGAATATAGAGAATAAAGAACCAGAGAGATAGGAGGAAACCTAGGAAATTATCCCTTCAATGATGTGAC